TTTTGAAGGAGGCTAGTTTTCAGGTACCGATTGCATAAAGCTACTAGTTTTCTGTATTCCGTGAAATCTTGGGTATGATGGAGCTTTCTACGTTGGTCAACGACTAAATAACAGACTCTTTTTCGACGCACTCCGCACTTTTTACGTCCGGTTGTCGCACTGGTGAGGGGCTTTGGGACGTGGTGGTTTGAGGCAATTTCGTAAGTTCTTTGCATCTTCCAGTCTTTCCGCATGACTCCAATTTCGCCTGCATCTTTGTTTCCTCGGCTGAGTCTCTCGTTAGTTTGGAATGAGTCTTTGAGGGAACGTGACGAATTGATGATGGGAGTCGCGTGTTCTGCGAAGACGAGTGTGTGGCGTGAAGAGGATAACTTTTGCGATTTAAAAAACTCCCATTTGACCAGGATGTTCGAGGTATTTTTATCACGGTACAGGCCCCGGTAGTGTATGGAGGATTTCTTTGCACTGGAGGGAAGTCTATCGTCATTTCTACAAACAAAGCCATGTCGATTCTACTCTCAACCGTTAGTAGCGAGGTTTGCTGCACAAATTATGAACAAATTAATGCCAAGTTTGACAAGACTTGGGGCTTTTAAACAAAAATCGTTTTTCATGGTGGTTATGGCTTATAATACAGAAATAGAAGTAAAGGCTAAGATAGGGCACATTTGAAACTCCCTGTAGAAATAATTAAAGGCTTGGAAGTGGGTACTTGAACGCCTTTGTGATGTCAGTCTCATGTAGTAAGGCCAAATACAAGTCTCACCTTCCGAGTCGATTTTCAGTGCCTTCATTTTTGGCAGCCATCTCGTCAAGCAAGAGTCGAAGGTGGCGTGACAATCTGGCGATTTCCTGCTGACTGCGATATCGTTCGCTTAGACAGGCTGAATTGGTGCACTCTTCGCGACGTCTTTCATCTCTCAAACTGACCTGCTTCTCCTTCACCCCTTCATTGGGCCTGTCAAATACTTTGCTCGGCTTCTGAAACGTTGAGGCAAGTGGATGTGACATTTTTAAGCGTGAGGACGGGGATGAAATAACCTTTTTTGCTGAGAACATACAGTTATGCTAATGCGCAGCGCTTTACCCTCAAGCCTCGCACATCTATTATAAAGGCGCAAATGAGGCAGTGTTTTTGCTAACTTTGTCTAACTCTCTGTAGAGTCTAAGATCTCCTCATTAATCATAATATTTTAAGTAGCATACATCCGATAATGCTCATGGAAGGGCTCATGGATGCACCGGTGGCGCTCTTTTCGTGCAATTAGTCAAATTTTATTCAACAAGGTTTCTCACTCATGCCTCATCTCGCCCGCTTTGCTTAACAGCATCATATGCTGGTCGACTAAGGTGTGTTACCCATCAAGTTTTTCCCATTTTAAATGTGAGGGATGTCGGAATTGTCCACTTGATCGATTACTCGAAACCAATAGACTTGTTGTTACGATCAATGTGTAGGAGTTTGTAATCTTTTGTATCCTCTCATGACACCTTGAGGACGTATCATTACCCATCGAATGGGACTGACTTTTGGCAGCAATTGTTTTAAAAACTAGTAGCAACCTGGAGGCGCCTCTAATGCTAATTTCAAGAAGACACTTTGGCGATAACCTCAACGCGCCTGGGAAATGAGTTGATGCTTTGAATGGAGATGTACTCTGTCTTCAATCAAATGAAAATCAACTAGTGGCGTTTGGAATTGCTACTTTCCAAAGTAAGTAGCATCCTCTCAAGCGTGGGCTAATTGTAAGGAAGATGATTAAAAATGCATACA